AAAACAATCTCAAAGCAATATAATCCATAAACACATAGATTCCATCATCTCATCACAATCCACATATTTCATTATCTCATCACAATTCACATATGTACATATAAATAAATTGCACATATACATTGTGTCACACATCCAACACCAGATCACGTACATGCCCCTACTGAAGCTTCACACGTCCAACATAGTGTCACGCACCCGACTGTGTTAATGCATTCCACTATTGGCATCGATATCACGCATACGACTATACTTGATGCATCATACATCTAGTACCATATCATGCATACGAACATGCCGCCAACAACACATAAATAACACCATATCACGTGCACGTCCTTACAATTTGGTATCATGCATACGACTATGCCCAATCATTACATCATAGTTCACATTTCAATTCAATCCACATCACATGCACAATATAGATAAATCCACACAAAACAATGGTTCACATATTCCTCATGCAATTCACCAAGAATTCACATCACATCATCATACATATATGAATTAAATCTACAACATAATATCATACAACTTTAAACCAATTTTCAATCTACATGATAACACCTTAGAACATCAAAATAATATGCATCTCCCTTCAACAATTGTCAAAGAAAACAATACACAGAGAGTTATACTCATCCAAATAAGCTCAAACCTATCTCAAAATAAATATAAGAGAATAATCTACAACTCTTATGAAGACATGAAATTCTATAAAAAATCATCTACTTAGCTAAAAATTTCAAAATCCGAAATAGATATAATTCACGTTGACAACTTGACCCCTATTCACTAAAATAGTCATAACTAGATTTATAGACATCCTTTTTGAGTGATTCCAAAGCCATTAGAAATATAACACCCAAAGCTACAACTTTTGTGAAGAACACGAAATCTAAAAATGTCATTAAGGTCACCTTGTATGGATGACAACACAAAGCTTAATATTTTGTGCACTAGAATGGAGATTGAACTTATAACTCGCATAATTCAATCAATTATTAACATTTTTACACGATTCTAGAGTATAAATTATAGTCCCAAGTGTCTAATTTCTAACCCATCAAACGAAAATTGATTTGGTTAATCACACAGAAAGATATTACAAAAATACTAAGGTACATCCATAAGTAAAATCTCTCAATTACTCATTAATTCATATAATTAAGGGTACTCATCAATCTACAAAAATCCTAACTTACAAAGTACATCCCAATAAATCCAATCATTATCTAGATCATCAATTTTGCCAAATAATATCACAACCACGTTTATAAATCAATATGAAACTCTATTGAATCATCAATTTCATAAAATAACCTACCAATTATCAAAATCCCAATCCCTCATGAACCTTAACTCATAGACACATTTCAAACAATTCAATCTCTCTCTCAGAACATTGATTTTAACATCTAATACCAGAAATACACTCGCAAGTCCACATAGAAATTATCAGAAGTATTAGGCATCCAAACAAAAACGAATATAAAATTACCAAAAATCCTAGGGAACTTTCCCTCTACCCATTCCCTCATGTGACTTCGCATATAAAAATCCCCTCTTCCCCCATTTCTGGTTGTGTTAATCAGGATACTCTTCATGTAATAGAAGTTGCTCCTGATCTCTTTTTGGGCACTCCTCCCCAGAGCTCTTATTTTTCTTTTCTCTTTTTCTTACTCCTTTAGAAAATGCCAAATGAGACTAATGAGGATGAATTTGCTAACTCCTTTACATTACCTCGAGTCGGGTCAACCCAACTCATTACCCTTCCCGACCCTCTTCTCCTTTTTCTCAAAATAATTTAACAAAATAAATATAAATAATAATACAAAAATATGTTTCCTTAATAATAATAATTAAATATTTCTAACCCCAAAATATAAGAAAGAACATAATATTAATAATAATATTATTTTCTAAAAAAGAACAGGATGTTACAATTTGCATGATATTTCTCATGATTTGACCAAAGGAAGATCCTCCACTTGCTCCTCCACTTTGGGTTTTTGGATAATGGCAAGGTTAATTTGTGGAAATCCGGCATGACCTTCTTCTTATAAAACTTACTTACTTAATAATAATTTATTTATTTAAATTTTATTATGATATTACAACTAAAATCCTATCTAGCTTCATTTTTTCTTCTTGCATCTCTACTCACCCACTCGTTGCTCGTCATTTGCATCGCGTCCTGCCTTCCATAGCCACCACTTACCATATTCTTGTGTCCCAAGTGTGAGTTGCAAGTGTAGGTATGGATACCCAGGTACCCAACGGGTATAGAGATGAGGATTAAAATTGTTATTCATGCAAGTATGAGACTGGATACATGTATTATTTTTAAATATGGTATGAAAATGGATACTATAAAATCATACCCAAATCCTATCTATTGTCTTCCCTAAAATGAATCCCTTCTCATTTATATATATATAAGATGAGGCAGTGATTAGTAAATTTTCACCCAGCAAAGGTACATGCATGTATTCAATTTGATTCTCATCTCAAGCTTTTTTGGTGTTCCACTTCAAATGTTTTAAAATTCGTGTTCATGTGAAAAATCATGATTCTAAAATAAAAATTTATTGCTAACGAATATTTGTTTACACATTTACATATGTATCTCTGAAATAAAATATTTACATTCAGTTTTAATAAATAAATAAAAAATTATGACAAATTTTAATTATTTATCACCTTAAATAAATTAATGATAGTAGCGTCATATTTTTATCATGATAAATTAATTTCAAGTAAACAATTATTTATAATATGTTTAAATATAAATTAAACGCAGGGAATTAATATTTCTAATTCATGTTCCAAAGAAACTAAAATTTTGTGTGATAAACATTCCCTAAGAGTAAAATAAGTAATTTTACTATCAAGGAAATTAATTCTTTATATGAATAATATTAGTGACCTTACGCAGAGAAATGCTAATAATAAATTTTCTGAAATTCTTTTTTGAATATATTTTAATTATCAGAAAAAAAAAGTATTAGAAATTACTTGAATTGTGTGAATTATATTCCGTATGTAATCATAAAGAATCTTGCGAGTAGAAAATGCCAATGCGAGCAATGAATTTATGTTCTCTTTTTATTATGAGGAAAGCAATGAGGGTGATATCTTGAAACACAATTGTTAGATTTTCTATGTTTTGTAGCATTTAACAATAACATTCAAGAATTTAACCCACGAGACCATAAAATAAATATACATGACTAATGGAAATATGGAAGATTGAAAAGCTTGAGAAGTGAGAACTTACCCTAATAAAAATATTCTACTACTTCTCTTTCCTTGCTATTTCATCTGCTTTTGCTCCTCTAAGCTTTGCTTCTTCTGCTTTTTATTCTTTAGAGGTTTCAAACAAAGTTAGATTTAAAGGCCTAGCTATAATCTTTGCTTCTTCTGCTTTTAATTTGCTTGTATATTTCAGGTTGAGGCCTCCATGTTTTTGATGTTTGGGTCAACGGATAACCATATTCTCTTGCAAGCTGTGACACACTGTATTCTGGTTCAGATTTTGTTTTATCAATATTTTTTTTCTCATTAAATTAGGAGTTTAATAGATTATGCAATCACAGTTGTAAAATAGTTTTATATTTTGAGTGTAGTGTCCACCAATTACAGATCACTATTGATATGATTTTTAAAATTATTATTTTAAAAGTTAATAAATTTACTATATATAATAATGTGTGATTGAATAATAATATAAAACTATTTTATATTTTTTTTTCTAATTAATTATAGTAAATTATCATTTCCTCAAATGAATTTTTAAAAGAGTGTATAGAAATTTCAAATCCTTGTTGATATGGAGCCAGCCAGCAGCAGGTCTTTAAGAATAAAGATATAACAATTTTGAAGATGCACAACACGCCAAATTGGTCATAGTTGCTCCATAGTAAAGCACGGAAATTGAACAAAAATAAAACAACTTTGAGAAATGTTAATAAAAGAAAAACTTTAATATTATGTTTGGATGGAGTAGTTCATTTATTTAAAAAAATTTAAATTTTTTGAGGTGTATTTTGTTTGGATGAAAATTTTATAAAGAATTTTAAATTTAAATATTTGTGAAATTTTTTAAAATAATAAAATTTTAAATTCTCTCAAACAAAAATAAGGATTTGAATTTTTTTTTTCTTATTTCACTTATATATTTTATCTTATCTTTTATATCTTTGTGTTTTTAATTATTTAATATTTAAAAATATTTTTAAAATTATTAAATATTAATGTTTAAAATTATTAGATTTTTAAAAATTGGCTAATATTTATTTTCATCAAATTTAATTTCAAAATATCAACATATGAATATTTTTTAAAATCAATTTTACCATGATGGAATCAAATTATCATACCCAAACTTTTGATTAATTCTTAGAAAATATTCAAAATATTATTTATAAAATCATAAATATTATATATGTGATAACTTTTTATTTACAATATAATTATAAAATAATTAAATATATTTATCATTTAAGTTAAGTTAAATTCTTTTTAACTTTTACAATAATCTTTTCATGTTTAAAAAAAATTATAATTTTATAAACACTTTAAGTAAAAATAATAAATATATATGAATATATTCGACTTGAATGCTTTAATTGTTTCAATAATTTTTAAAAACTTGAAACAATTAATTAATTACACTATTTCTTTTTTGGTTCGTCGATAGCATGGACAATGACTAATCTTCTTGCTATGTTGGAGGCACTTCAAAAGGTGGGATAACTGGTCCCAAGATTTAACGCGGCTGCATACACAAGGCAGGATTCGAACCCCTAACATTATTTAAGCGTGGATCAATCTCTATCGCTGAACCACACGCTTGGGATTAATTACATTATTTTAATAAAAAAAAACATAATTTATAAATAAATGTGTTTTTAATATAATAAAAATAAAAGTAATTATTTTAAAAAAATAATAAAAAAATAAGTGAGGTGAAGTGCATCAAGAGCAGAGTGTGTTGTTACTTTTCTGTTTTACATATTTAAGAGTTAAGACATTCCTTTCACTGTCCACTGTTTCCGTTTTCCCTGTAACCCTATAACATAAGTGGCTGCGCCGCCGCGTCTGTTGCCGTCGCTCCCGCCGCCGTTTCGACTCCGGTATGTCGTTTGCGCCTCCTTCCCTTCCTACTTTGATTTCCGCATTGTTTTTTTCCGTTCCCACTCTCATACGTCACGTCGTACTTAAGCTAACCACCCACTGCGTTGCACGTGCCCAATCGCTGAAACCTCGTTACAAATTTCGCTAATTTGTAGTTGTAGAGGACCAAAATGCAATAAGTGAAAGTAATATGATTGAATGATTAATTAACAAACATAAAAAGCACTTCCATACATTTAATTACTTTTTCACCTTTTTGGTAAATAGTTCCAAACATGGCATATGTTGGAGAATAAAAAACACTGCTTAAATTGCACGCAGTCGCTTAAGAATCATATAGACGCAGTCGATAATAGGTATCTCTCTCACTCACTCACTCACTCTTGTTAAAGGTTTTTTTTTTTTTTTTTTAATCATGTAATTGATATGAAGAAGATTTTGAAATGGAACTTTGCATGCAGTGAATCGTTTCTGCACAGTTTGGTTTTATTAGTTATTTTTTTAGTATTTTAAAGTACTTTTTGTTTTTTTTTTTAATTTTACTAAGTTTTTTTATAGCTTCATCTGTGTTGTTGCATTTTGGCTGAGTTTTAGTTTATTAGTGTTACTCACTTTGTTGATGAAAATATTAGAACTTTGCCTGTATGGATATTTTTTTAATCTTTTGGTCATGTCATCCTCTCTGGTTTCATTAATGTTAATGTGTTTGATAGGTGGATTGCATTTTTTGGGTTTCTAAGATCTAACTTTCAATCCAATAATGTGTTTGGAGGGTGTTCCATAATGATGCTAAGAAGTCTTGATTATTGTTTTTTTTTTTTTTTGTTTGGCTTCTTTTCTTAGGAATTTGTATTGTTGTTGGATTTATCCGTGTCTGTGTGACCTACTGTACCAAAAATTTTCATTTTTTTTTCAACCATTTTGCATTATTCTGCATTATGTATGTTGTGAGGATTGCCCAATCTGTGGTTTCATGGTGAGAATGCTGTAATTAAGTTATGCTATGAACTCCATTGTGATGCTTAAAATTGTAGAACAAGTATCTCAATATCTTATGGAATTTTACCTATGCTTCAAAATTTTAAAGTGAAGAGTTTTGTGCATGCTGGATGACGCAGGTTATCTCTAAATCTTTCAAGAACAGACTGAGAAAGGTGAGGAAATGTCGGAACCATCATTGGTAGAGTCTCTAGTTCTTCAACTCCACGAGATCTCAGCTGTCAAATTTGGCAACTTCAAGCTCAAATCTGGCATCTCCTCACCAATCTACATAGATCTTCGCCTCATTATATCTTACCCTTCTCTCCTCCAGCAAATCTCTCAAACTCTTATATCATCAGTCTCTTCCACTTCCTTTGACCTTGTATGTGGTGTCCCTTACACTGCCTTACCCATTGCCACATGTGTCTCTCTCGCTCAAAACATTCCCATGGTCATGCGCCGCAAGGAAATCAAAGATTACGGAACTGCTAAAGCTATTGAAGGTGATTTCAAGCCTGGCCAAAGTTGCTTAATCATTGAGGATTTGGTTACCAGTGGCACGTCAGTTTTGGAAACTGCAGCGCCATTGCGTGCTGTGGGGTTGAAGATCAGTGATGCTGTTGTTTTGATTGATAGAGAGCAAGGTGGGAGAGAGAATTTGGAGCAAAATGGCATCAAACTGCATGCAATAATTAAATTGTCTGAAATGGTGAAAATTTTGAGCAATCATGGGAAGCTTGACAAGGAGATGGTAGGAGTTGTTACAAAGTTCTTAGAGGAGAATCGGAAGGTTGCTGCTTTGACAACGGTGGAGAAGCCTGCAGCAACTAAGGTCAAGGCTTTGTCATTTGGGGAGAGGGCTAAGCTGTCGAAGAATCCAATGGGAAAGAGGTTGTTTGAGATAATGGCTGCGAAGGAGAGTAATCTCTGTTTGGCTGCCGATGTTGGAACTGCAGCTGAATTGCTTGAAATTGCTGAAAAGGTTGTTCTGATCTCTAGTTTTCATGTACTATTGTGTTCACTTGGATCATTAGCTTGCAGAATACTTTCTTAATTAGTCCATGAAATGTTTTCTTGCTCGTTTACATGAAAGAATCTGGTGTTTTGTGGCTTCTTAACATCAACTGGATTCTAATTAGATGATTGGCCATGATTATATGTATTTTTATTAACTAATTTGGTTGGTTTACTCTTTCAGGTTGGACCTGAGATATGCTTGCTGAAGTCTCATGTGGATATTTTTCCAGATTTTACTCCTGATTTTGGCTCAAAACTACTTTCGGTATGACACTTAAAGAAACTCTATTTTGTTTATGTGCCTTTTTCTCTTTTCAGGATAGCACAAGAAACCTTTTGGTTCTTGATATTGTTGACATTAACCACTAGAAGATTTTATTTATTTATTTTTTATTTATTCAAACAGGATGGCAATTCCTTCCTTTAACATATGAATAGGGTTGTTATGTACTATGAGCATTTTGGTGCATAAGTTTCAGGCAATCTTTTACATTTCTGGTCTAATGGTGTCTAATATATGATTTATTCAATTAAAGATTGCAGAAAAACATAACTTCTTAATCTTTGAGGATCGTAAATTTGCTGATATTGGTAACACGGTGACCATGCAATATGAAGGGTAAGACTGCTCATTCAACTATCAAGGAATCCATTTTCTGGATTCCTTTTATCTATTTTTGCTTTCAGTATGACTTGTTTCTATTCCATTGTCTTGTTTCTGTTCCATTATCTCAGAGGGATCTTTCATATACTGGATTGGGCACATATAGTAAATGCTCACATAATCTCAGGCCCTGGAATTGTTGATGGGTTAAAATTGAAGGTCTGTATTATTAGTAACTTCAATTTTATTTTTACCATAGCAACATCTCAACTCATGGGCTAACGTGTATCTCGAACAATGCTCAGGGTTTACCTCGTGGTAGGGGTTTATTACTGCTTGCTGAAATGAGTTCAGCTGGTAACCTTGCCAAGGGAGATTATACCACTGCTGCCGTTAAAATTGCCGAAGATCATTCAGACTTTGTCATTGGCTTCATCTCAGTCAATCCTGCATCATGGCCAGGGGCACCTATAAATCCTTCCTTCATTCAGGCAACCCCTGGAGTTCAAATGGTAACCGGTGGCGATGCTTTAGGACAGCAATATAACACTCCATATTCTGTAAGTTTCTGGTTAAGATAAAGATGTGCAAAAGTATTTTTGCCCCGCCATTTGTTGTACTTTCTTAGGTTGAGAATTTTTTTTTTTTTTTTTTTGTGTGTGTGTGTGTGTGTGTGTGTGTGGAGGAAATAGGATAAGGAAAAGGGAGAGGGAGGGGGCACTAGTTCATCAGTCCTAAGAGCTGACAACAATGCAGCCCCCTGCTTTCTGCATTGAGCATGAAACAGAAGCATAATTAAAATGAGAAGTTAACACTGACTTGGTTATTAGATATCATCAAATATGGCTTGGCCATTGAAATTCTAATATGTGTGATGTATATTTTTGGGTTTGACGGTTTGTACCTAAATTTCACCATTAGGATAAATGAAAGATGCAAAATGAATTATTGATTTGCGTCTTGGCAAACTTGTTTCTCTGGGCTTTATATATAAAGATTTTTTTGGCTAACTAACTTGGTTTGCATCTTGGCAAACTAACTTGTTTCTTTATATTAATTCTTTGGCAAACTAACTAGTTTCTTAGAAATTTGATTTTTTAGCTGAGCCAAATGGACGTTGTGTGATCCACATAGCTCACTTTAGTTAGTGTGACAAGGTTATGTTGTTGTTGGTCATAGTTTATTTCTGTGTGTTTTTTTCAAGTTCATTTTATGCTACATCTTTCCCTGCTGAGAACTTGGTGTGGCATAGAATATTAGAAATGGTACCCTTGATTTTTCTTGTATTGAGAAGGGTTTTATTTTTAAGATACTCGCATTTTTAAACACTCATGTGACATTCAATATTTCTCTTTATTTTTCTCCTGTAATATCACATCACTAGATCATATTTATTATACATATAAGAGGCGTCTAAAAATCTTTTTTGTATTGAAAATTCATTAAAGCAGCATTCTTTTATCTTGTAGCATACTGATTTTGTCAGATCAAATATTTTTCCAGGTGGTTCATGATAGGGGCAGTGACATAATCATTGTGGGGCGTGGCATCATCAAAGCAACAAATCCAGCTGAGGCAGCTCGTGAATACCGTCTTCAAGGATGGAATGCATATTTGGCCAAATGTTCTTGATGCCCACATCCTTAGAATAAAATGATCAGCCAAAATAATGTTTTAATGGGACATCTAATCTGGCTTGTAACTCAGAGGAAAGGTGGTCTTGAGTACAATATAATGCTAAAAGACATTTTTCAGTCGGAATATTAAAGTTGAGTTTTTATTTTCTGAGGGAAATTAAATAAAAAATATAACTTATAGAATGGTAATATGGAATTTCATATGATTTTCTCACAATAACTACGAAGGAATGATGATACATCAACTCCTCTATATTAAGGTTTGCTTATACTATCTTGAATAGAAAGCACCTGATCAAGAATATAAAGGAAATAGTGTGGTCAAATAGCAAGCTACCCAATCTCAAGTGCTCAACTATCCAGGATTTGATTTAGGATTCGTCTATTCTATTTCTAAATGGAATATAGCATATTTATATTCTATTTCTAAATGGAATATAGCATATTTATATTCTATTTCTTTTAAAGGTTATCCTTCGTATATTAAATTGGGTTCGTGTAGTAAGTGCTCAAATTTCCGAACCTTTTGTATCGATAAATATGTTATCTCATACAAGCCATCACACTTTGTCATTGCCATTTATGACGGTGATTTCATCATATGTTGTAAATCAAATATCACTCGTAAAGATATGAAATTGATTAAAATCCTTATAAGTGGTCAAACTCTTTTATAATCACATAAAACTTGATTATAAAGATCATTTTCCTTGTATTGTAGTGTTTAGCATTTTTTCACACATAGGAAATTACTAAAAAATTTATTAAAATCAATGTTAATTTTATCAATATTAATAAATGATTTTTTTTAAACTCAAGGTCTTCAATTACAAATGTTGGATTATTATTACAGTTTGTTTCACGCGATTTAAAAGAGATTCTTTTAAAAAAATTTCATCCCTCTCAATGTTTAAAAATAAGCATTTATTTTTCATAAAAATATTTTCCTTGAGGTTTTAAAGTCAAAGGATCAATTGAATCCATTATTGACTTCATATAATCAATAAATTTTATAATTTAAGTAATTATTTTGCCACAATTTCTCAATTTATATTTTCAAGGCATATTTGCTTAGAGATTTTTCAACTAATAAATGTGTGTTTGTTTTGAAGTTAAAATCCTCTAAACACCCGTCAATCTAAAACAGGACTCTTTTTACTTCTTAACTTTTGCTTTGAAAATTGAGAAATTTCAGTTGTTTTTTAAATGCATACCCAAACATATTGTAAGTCTCATTACCAGTCATATCCAAAGTAATAAGCTCTAAATCAATAATTATTTTTAGCTGATCTCCTACTAACGACATTATAACCAAGTGTAGTGATATAACTATTATGAATTATCTCTTTAAAAACCAAGACCTAATTAATCAACACCGTATTTTCTAATCTAGTGAAATCTAGTGATATAACTTTTTTTTCTTCTTCTTATTATGGATAACACCTGTAACCAATAAAATTATTTAGAATTAACAATTCACGCAGTCTTCACTAACTCTTGTCATAAATGACAATAATTTTTAAGGATTAAACTCAAAAGTTCCCATCACTAGTAACAAATATATCAACATTCATTATATAATTACACATTAAATTAATATACTCAGTGGCACTAGCTATCTTTCATGAAATGTCATATAAATCAACGTATTGCCTTAAAAGAAAATAAAGTATATTATAATCACCAAATCAATTATATGATTACAACAAAAATTAAGGAAATCTATAAACCAATATATCCAAAACATAGAGAAAATATGCTCAATCACCACATAAATTGATGCACATTAAGGTCATCATTTATTTACTTATTTATATAAGCATTCTTGTTATTCTAGAGAACATGTATTTTAGTGACCTACTTATAGTTAATTCTTTTTACTATAGTGAAATTTGTAAATAATATTTGTCTATGTCTTGCAATTTATTTTTCTCACTTTATTCTTCAATTTGTAAACTAGTAGATATTATATGATATATGCGCTCAATAACCTTATCCCCGGATATCCTTGTGGCTATCCTCCTTACAATGTTGATAAATCGAGAAGTGTTAATCTTGTGAGAATAATCATTGTCATTTGCATTTATGAACACTATCTATTGATGTGGATATTGATTGAAGGAAATTTTTAATACACCTTACTTTTGACCTGTGTTTGGGAGGTAATTTAAGAGAGATTTGTGGGGAGGAGAATAAATTAGAAGAGAATTAGTAAAAACAAAATTGTGTTTAATGGAGGTGAATTAAAGGAAAATTGTGATGATTAATTGGTGGAGTGCATGGGATGAGAGTCACCCTCTCACATGATGGGATTCTTGTGAGATTATGGTCAACCGTACAAAATCCTCCTTATGTTGTAAATTAGTTTCTACTTCTTTTGTCCTGCACTTTCTACTCATGCTAAAGATGATGTGGAAAACAAATTGTCATTATGAGATGACAATATAAAGTTTATACTTTTTTAGGTAGAAAAAGAAATTTGAGTGGAAAGAATGGAAAGCAGATAGAGAATGAAGGTGTACTATAGTTTATCCATCAGGAACTGATGAGCGTGACCCCTCACTCTGCTCTGAGTGTGAAATAAATCAGAATTATAAGTTACTATATTTATTTAAAAATATTTAATTTTTTTTAATATTTATTGAATCAACTGATACTATATTTAATTTTTGAACTTCAAAATTTTGAATTCAAGTCTTGAGTTTAATTAATTTTTAATATTATTTTTATTATTTAAAAATTTAAAGATAAAATAGTCTAAAAATTATGTATATGAAAATAGATTATTCCCTTTATAACATGTATAGACTCAATATATGATTTATATTACTATGCGGATTATACACAAACAATTATCTGTTCTAAATTATATATATATATATATATTAATTTAAATTGTATTATTTCATATATATATGCACGATTGTTTTAATTCAATATTATATGATACCGTTCCATTAATTGATATTATTTTATCTTAACTTTTCTTTAACTATTTTTTAATTGTATAGTTTTCTTATTAATTCAATAATTTTTTATTTTTTTTTTACTTTCTTAATACACACATGTAATGCACAATTTATACCGTGGCTCAAATGCTATGTGGGAGTTAGGACTGGACAAAAATAAAATAAAAAATGGCAAAGGACGAAAATGCAAAATGTAGAAAAACATGTCTGGTGTTGTGATCTAGACAAACATGTCTTTGCAAAAGAAAGCACGTCCCCACCCAATGGTATCACTTTTTACATTTAGGCCCAATATGTTTCGGCTCAATGCTTTGGGAATAAGTTTATTTTCTCCATTCAAAGATGTGCAAATATCAAATATCTAAATAGTATTTTGCTTCAACGCATTTTCTAGTTATTCAAGTATCATTACATATTTTATGTATAATGTATGGATATTACCTATCAAATTTTATTCATCACAAAAATATATAAATAGATACATTATTATTGTACCTGTCTAAAGGATACACCAATAATCCTTTCGTATTCTGAGGGCCGAATGAGTGCTCCGAACCAATATTCCGGTGTGGGGGAGGTACCTGCAAAAGGCACTTCGACGCTCAAGTCAGGACAAAGCGCAGATATCGATAGCAATTAATGAATCGTGACCTTACCTCGTGACAAGAGCTATTTATACTGACATTTATGGGCCCAGACTTCCATGGGCCCTGTAACCAGATTACCAGATTAGGTAATACGCTCCTAATCGGCTTACGGGTATGCTTAACCCTTAATCCTTAATTATGGGTACATTCTTACCTCTATTAGTAGGAATCTGAGTTCATAGATCACCTGGTAGCCGAACGGCATTCGGTCACCTGGTTCGGTCATTCAGGTGCTGATTGGGTGTCGGCTATCAGGTGGCCGAGTGGCCGAACCAGGTGGCCAAATGGCCTTACTAGTACACTTATTATTATATAAAAGAATTTATGAGATCAGTCTAATAGTGGAGGGTTAACTCAATGATCTCGATAATTGTTGAACCTTTAGTTGGGAGTATTATTTTGAGACGATAAATGTGTAATACCCATGTTTATATAAATATTGATGAATTGTGTACTACTAAAATACTGTTTTTTGTTTAATATATAACTAATTACAAATTAATCTTGATTATTTTGCATATATTTGTTTTAACTTTTATGAAACTGTTTTTATTTTTTTAATCTCTAACTTTGAATATTTATATAAAAAAAATTATTTTCATTGTCTTTTAAATTTTTATTAAAAAATATTATTAATTTAAATGAAAATAAAAAATAAATCATCACTATATTATATAAATTTGAGTATTTACTCTAAAAAAAATATTTTAAAGAAACTTTGTTTTGACAGTAACTTCTCGTATATTTAGTATCTGATTTAACATTGACAGATTCTTGCACAATATTTGTTTAATATTTTTCACGAAACTTTTCAATTCTTGCCAACTTTTAATCTATGCACGTAACTCGAGTTGCTACTTGGCACGAACTTTCCTTCATCTTGAACAAACCCAAATCCATTTTGTTGAATTAATCTTCCTCCATTTCATTCATTTGTGATTTGTTTTTCATTGATCAATATCAAAGATGAAAAAATCACGTTGATAGAATACTGAAATTTAGAGAAACTAGCTCCCTTAAATAAAAACACCTCTATAAGACATCTCCGGTGTGGGTTGTTTATAAGTAATTTACTTGTCACATTAGCACTTTTTCTCTCTTTTTTCTTAAGCAACAGAGTTTCTACAAGCAACTTTGTTAAAATTTAAGCAACTCATTAACACTTAAACAATAAAAAGAGGTGATGTAACACAGTGGATTGCTTATAAGTAATCCAGGTTGCAGATGACCTATTGAATCACTTCAAACTAAGAATTCTACTTACAACATATAGTATGTGGAAAATTTTCAAAGAAGAGATTACATTTAAGCGCCTCAAGTTTTTTTTTTTTTTTTTAACTCTTATTTTCTTTTGCTAAATTTTTGTTTTGTTAGATTCGAGCGGTTTAACTGAAACCAAAAGTGCTTCATATTGAATTTGCATTTAAGTCAAATATTACATCATTAAATTCATATTTCATCATTTAATTGGTGTTAACTCCTCCCTAAAATAATTGGATATGTGAATTATCTTTACTATAGTAATTACCCTTTTAATTTCATTTGTTTAAAATACTTTTAATTAAATTTATAA